CGCGCAGTGAGGGGAGGTGTCTGGGGTGGATGCACAGTGAGGGGAGGTGTCTGGGGGGACGCGCAGTGAGGGTTAGGGTTAGCTCACAGAGGGGCTGGGTGAGTAAGAACGAGGCCCTCGAGCTCCCTCTCCTCCTTGACTTCCTGCTGGGGGCCCCCACTGGCCAAGGCCAACCACCAGGCGTGGGGCACAGGGGTGCTGTGGCTGCGGTCCATGGCGGCCGGCCTCCTGGGGCCCAGAGAGGGGTGGAGCCAGGTGGTCAGTGGAGCTAGAGGACAGAGAAGACACTACGACAGCCAGCACGGCGTCCACATGCCTCACAAGGTGGCGGTCACGGCAACACAAGAATGAGCCTCTCTGATGACCACGTCAGGGCCTGGGACGCTGCAGGGAAAGTGGGGAGGAAAGGACTGAGGAAGAACAGGACACTAAAGAAAGATGGTGGGTGCTGTGAGGTAGCCAGGGCCACAACCGACACGGGACGGCAAGCCCTGCACCTGCGCCGGCCCACACGTGGGCCTCAGGGCTGCCAACCAGCGAGCCACGTGTGGCACCACCGACCACGAGGGCAGCTGGGCTTCCAGGTGAGAAAGAGCTGGATTCTGGATCAGCACTGGTGAGGGGAGAACTAACTAAAGACTTCCACAAGGTCGGTCATAAAACCGCAGCCCAGCCGCAGCTCCAGGTCACTGGGCCGGCTGTGCGGACCCCCGTCCTGCAGGGACTCACCGTCTCTGCTGCTCCATCAGAGCCTGCTTCTCCCGGAGCTCTAGGAGTGCGGCCGCTCGGCTCTCTTCCAGTCTTTGTGCTCGGATCGCCGTTTGGTATGGTGACGAGAGGTCGGGTAAGATGTTCCTGGAGGAGACCGTCTTCCTTCTGAAATTACAGTGTTTTTAGCTAATACTTAACAAAACCCTGTGACAGTAACTCATACAACACGCGAGATGGAAAAGGAGGGCCTGCGGGTCATCTGCTCATCAGGACGATGATCACGACTAGAAACTGCAGTCGCCCACAGAGCCCACAGTCTCCACTGCTGATTTCAGGACATGTTATGCAGGTGTGCAGATGGCAGCAGGACCCTGTCCCCACGCGCCCGCTGCCGGCCAGCTGCCTTCCCAGGACTCTTTACAATCAGCTTGTGAAATGCGAAGGACGCTCGGCCTTTGCTCCTGCAACTGACCTGCTGGAGACCAGTGCTTCACCTTGATCTGACCTGGGTGGAGACGCCCGCAGAAGCAACAGGGGCCCGGCCAGCAGCTTGCATGGCTGGACGATGCGACATGCCTGGAGTTCAGGTGCACGGGGTGGTGCTGCAGGTCAGAATCCCATTTCTGGGTGATATGGGAGTGGGGGCGGGGCAGGCAAGGCCATCAGAAAGCGCCTGACCTCCATACACACATTCAGGCAGGGTCAGATAATGTGTCCCCCTTGAGGGAAGCTCATAGGACAGCAGAGGGGACAGCCAGGTGCATGGGGTCGCACGGTGCTGGTGATGTCCTCTCTCTGCCCATGAGAGGGGGCTGACAGGTGTGCCCTGGTGTTGCCTCCCAGTGAAAACAGCTGGGGAAAATCAAGCCAGAGATAGAGGCTCTGAACCCAGGGCTGAGGGCCAGCCAGGTTCTAGAACATGACACCTCCTCACCATGAGCCTTGCACTAAAACAGCTTAAGAAAGACAACTAGAAGCTCTGCCTGGTCTTGCCTCTGAAACCTAACACCCCGCCCAGAGGAGAAAGGCCCATCCCATTTCATAGCTGCCCTGGCACAAAGCCTGACACCAGCAGCACATCTTGGGAGGTCACAAGCAAGCATCATGCCCGGTGGCCACATCCCAGAAAGCTGGCCCACAACCCCTCCCCGCCCCCCGACTGCACGGCCTCCCAGGAGGCTGGCCTGCCCCGCCCACTGCATGACCTCCCAGGAGGCTGGCCCCCCAACCCCCGACTGTACGGCCTCCCAGGAGGCTGGCCCGCCCCCTACGCTGCACAACGCCCCCACCCTCATCTTCCCTGTCTGCACTGGAACAGCAGGGACTTCCCAGCAGAGCAGAAAGGGCAGGCATGGCCTGTGCTCTGAGACAGCGGTCACCTGGGGTGTGTGCTGGGCACTGGTCTTTCCCCTACCGCTTTTGGAAAGGCAGGTGGCCCAGGCTCTCTGGAACACCAGGTTTCCCCTCGTGGTCTCAGGGGAGTGTGGGGGAGCCGCCCCAAGGGAAGGCCTTTAGGATGTCAGAATTGGGCTGGAGCAGTGATGTCTCGTCACACCCCAGCTCCATGTTTGATGACTTCAGAATGCACTTATTCCCTCCCAATATAATTCTGGGATTTCAGGACCAGAGTATTATTTACCTATGATTTTTACATAACATCACTTTTCTTGCACGTGTTTTTGACGCCAGCCCTCAGCCTCAGAGGCAGGCCTGCGCCATGAGAGTCACCTGCTGTTCCCACCACATCCAGTGCTCCCCAGCCAGAGAACACGGAGCAAAGCCAGCCTCCGGAGCCCCAGACCTTCAGGAAGGGCCACCACCCCCAGCACGGACCAGGGCCATCATCTCAGAGCTTCTCCTTCATACCCATGACCCCATGATAACCCGACCAAGCGGGGAAACTGAGGCCCCGATAATGCATGTGACGCCACAACCACCCATGCTGGAAAGCTGAGGTGCAGAGTGGCTCTCCAGGGCTCACCCTGGGGCAGAGACAGCAGAGGGAGAAGACAACATTCAGGACACACCCAGCCACGGGGCAGGGGCCCTGGCCGAGGCCTCCTGTCAGAGGCTCCAGTTCTCTGCCCCAACTTCCCCAAACAGTCTCTGAAGGCTAAGGTCTCCTATCTAAATCTGACATACTTATCAAATTATAAGTACCATGAATAAGCATACCACAATTCACTAGGATTAACTATTAGAGCTCCTAACAATAAATAAATAAATGAAGGGAGGAGGGGAGGAAAGAGGTTTCTAAGTAGCAGCCTCGGCATATTCCTGCTGTTTCACCATGTGTCGGTGTGGACTGAGAACATCCCGAGCGCGTCGGCGCCTCTGAGACCGCACTGTGGCTGGGGACCTGCGGTGTGTGCAGCTGGGACTCCCTACACTTTGATTTGTGACTAAGGCTTCCAAGGTCTGTTTTGTTTTGAACGTTGGAACCTACAGGACAGCCGAAAGATCAGGGCCATGAACGCTTCGGGCCTCCACGCCGATACCTCCGGGGAGGTTTGGTGCCACCTTGCACCTGCTCATGTTGGCTGCTGCATGGAGCCTGATGGACCCCAGACCACCGCCGCCTCCGAGACATCTTCACCCCCAGGAAGCCATTGTTGTCCCCTTGGCTATGACGACATCCCCCCTTGAGAATGCATGATCTAGATTCACCAATTGTTATTTTGTAGCATAAAGGTTAGCTCAGGAAGTGAGTGGCAGAACCACTGCCTTCCTTTTCTCCAGAGAGCTGCGATTGCACACGCTCCCTTCCTTTTCCCCACACAGACAGCTGTGATTGCACACGCTCCCTTGCTTTTCCCCAGACAGCTCTGATTGCACACGCTCCCTTCCTTTGCCCAGGCAGACAGCTGCGATTGCACACGCTCCCTTCCTTTTCCCCAGACAGCTGCGGTTGCACACGCTCCCTTCCTTTCCCCAGGCAAACAGCTGCGATTGCACACGCTCCCTTCCTTTTCCCCAGTTATTGCACACGCTCCCTTCCTTTTCCGCAGACAGCTGCGATTGCACACGCTCCCTTGCTTTTCCCCACACAGCTGCGATTGCACACGCTCCCTTCCTTTTCCCCAGACAGCTGCGATTGCACACGCTCCCTTGCTTTTCCCCAGACAGCTGCGATTGCACACGCTCCCTTCCTTTCCCCAGACAGCTGCGATTGCACACGCTCCCTTTATTTTTTGCAGAACTGACCTTTCCCCCCACTCCTCTCTTTTCACAGGTAAAATGTGGATTCAGTGAGCGCTCATCGAAGCCTCACAAGAATGTGACCACTCGGCTCGCTGCCTGCCCCCACTTTTACTTTTTACTTTTCTTTCTTCCTTCCCGATGCCCCCTCTTTCCACTTTAAACGTGGACGTCCTCGAAGCTCTCTCTGGAGAAAGCACAGGCCACAGATCCTACTGTCACTGTGTTTCTTTTCCGAGTGCTTCCTCAGCCCCAGCCAGCTCGGCCTCTGAATGCCCTGAGCTCTGCCGCAGACGCTCTGGGCTGACGCAGGTCCTCGTCACCCTAAACCCGGGGCCAGCACTCCCCGCACAGTAAACAGTGGCAGTGTGGAGGGACACTTTAAAAGGTGGACCTGATGTTTTAAAAGATAATTTAAAATAACTGTATAAATTCGCAAAGATCAAGAAAATCCCTGGTTGCTTTTAGTTTTACCTGAAAATGTGCCTTGGCTTTGGCGGCTCCTTCTCACTGTTCAAGGCCGCCTTGAGATTGGGAGGTAATTCCCTCGGTAAGAGCTGATTTCCAGGACCACCTGCCTTTGCATGCTCAACAATTTCCTGCCTCAGCTTCCAAAAGCGCCTGATCTCCTCCTCGTTGGGCCAGTGCTCTGAGGAGTCAGCGGACTTCCTGAGATCACTCAGGTTGGGCTTTTCCACGGGCGGGAGAAAGCCAGCTTTCTCTTTCATCACGGCCTGCTCTGGGTCCCCAGCATTCGAAGCTCCTTCATTAGATGCGTAGTCTGCAGACAACTCCAGTCCCAGGCTCGGGAGGTTGTGGAGGGTCATCTCTTTAGCCGGCGCAGCCCCTGGTAGAGTAAGACACTGCTTTAGGAGCCACCAACACCTTCCCTCTCTGACTCACTCAACAAGCCAGTGCCGGCGTCCTCTGGGAAGACCGCCTAGGTGATGGGGGTGGGGGGCCCAGATCCCCCGTGGCCCTCACGCTCCCCGTCAGTCCAACCAGGGTTCAACCCATCTGCACCATGCCAGGCTGCAATGGCAAGCAAAGCAGCTCCACGAGGAGGGAACGGAAACAGCATTGCCAGACTGCGCCTGGCCCTCCGACACAGGCCCCACCTGACCCTCCCAGACGGGCCTTACCACGAGAGGAACTTTTTGCAAGTGTACACAGGCCAATCTTGCCACATTTAATCGACATTTCTGCTTCCCCTCAGATCACTTAGCATCTTTATTTCTAACTCATGTTTAGCCCATTATGCCTGCTTGTTTCTTCTTTGGTGATGCTTTTGATGACTTTCGCAAAACATAGCTTCAGGGAGAAGCCCAGGCACTTGGGGAGCCACTGGGGCCTACCGGCCAGCTCCCGGCACGTACGTGCCCAGCACGACTGGAATGTAGCAGGAGCGGCGCGGATAAAACCCGTCGAACGCCGAACTGAGAAAGGAAACAGCTTTTTATTCAGCTTGGAGCTGCGGCGGATAATGCCTTAACGACCAAGCTCACCGAAAAGCAGCTTCTCTCCCTTTTATAGGCTTGTAACTCTAAAGGGGAAATTGAGGCGAAACTGTGTCACCGTCTATTGGCTGGACAATTGACCTCACAATCTTTGACTTCATTGATTTGCTAGTTCCCATGTGGCAGGAGTGGGAATAGGTGGGGGAGGGGCTCACAGAGACAAAACAAAGGCAGTAAATCATTAGTTGGCAGAGGTATTTCCAGGAGTGGGTCTGGGTTGTGCAAACATGGAGGAGGTGACCCAGTGCCGGGCTCCGGCTGGTAGTGATAACATTCTTTGCAACACTCTCAAGGCTTATAGATAGCAGAGATGCTGGGAACCTAAAAGGGAGTCATCTTCCCAGCCCCTGGGCCTCATCATGGCCTGGTCAGTGGCGTCAGCAAGTCACGTGACCACGGATTCCAGCTCTTTGGTATTTTTTCTCTCTTTACCCTCCTTCTTATCCGGAGGGAGGAGGTGGAGTCCTGCGAGGAGGGAGATGTGGAGGGGGTCTCCCCTCTCAGGAAGGCTGAGTGAGATCCCAGGTGGGCGCTGCAGTGGACACAGTCTCGTGGACGTCACGCCCCTGGCTGCCACAGGTTCCTGACTGCTACGTGCTCAGGGTCTTAGGTTTGAAAGGAAAAGTTCTAAAAAATGGGGAAACATGCTTCAAAACGTCCTATGAAGTTGTAAAATTCCCCCTGGGGTACTAGTGACTAGAACCATGTATATTTGACCAATCTGCATATGGATAATTGACTTAGGGCCAGTGACAAAACTGAAATTCATGAAAATGTAAGCAAACAGGAAGAATGGGATACCAGCAAAAATACCTTTTTTTTTTTTTTTTTTTTGGAACAGAGTCTCACTGTCACCCAGGCTGGAGTGCAGTGGCACGATTTCGGCTCACTGCAACTTCCGACTCCCAGGTTCAAGTGATTCTTCTGCCTCAGCCTCCTGAGTAGCTCGGACTACAGGCATGTGCCACCATGCCCGGCTAATTTTTTGTGTTTTCAGTAGAGACAGGGTTTCACTGTGTTAGCCAGGATGGTCTCAATCTCCTGACCCAGTGATCCACCTGCCTTGGCCTCCAAAAGTGCTGGGATACAGGTGTGAGCCACCGCGCCTGGCCCAGTATTTTCTAAAGTTAATTCAAAGGGCAAAGTGCTAAAAATGTACATTATAGAAACTAATCAAAAAAAGAGTCAGTATTTATTTTTGACCAGTTACTTAATAACATTTTTAACTTTCATTTTGAAATGATTTCAAACTTACAGAAAAGTTGTAACAGCAGTGCTGAGCAGTTGGTGGGCCCTGCACCCCATCTGCAGCCACTGCTGCTGGGGCTGGGCCCGCGAGCCCACCTGCCCCCGCCTCTCCGGGGCGCAGTTACCAGGATGTCCGGGCAACTTCAGACATCCTGCCCCTCCACCCTCAGACGGAGACACTCCCACATCACCACAGCGATTCACCAAAACCAGGCGCGTCCCATTGCTGACCTCTGTCACCCACTGGCTAGCCTTCCTCACACCTGGATAACTGCTCCAATGGTGTCCTTTATCCTATTTTTCCCAGCCCAGGATCCAATGCAGGATGAAGCCATCACATCCATTTTCCTATTCCTTTAGTCCCCTTCCATCGGAATGAACCCTCAACGTCTCCCCTTTTTTATCCTGGTCCTCCACTGGGGTCTGTCCATGTCTCCTGAGCTCCCTGCATGCCGGCTCTGCTGTGCCTGACAGTTGTGCCCCTCCGTCCCTGTCTCAGCCATCTCCAGGTCCCAGTCCTGTCTCTCCTCAGCCACTCCATGGCCTCCGCTACCTGCCTCCAGCTCCTGCGAGGTGCCCAGTGCCCACTTTCCTCTTCCTGTTCGTATCATGACGTCCTGGCAGTGTCAGGGTCAAGGGTGCACCAGAGCTGGGCAGCTTCAGAGCGACGCACCAATGGAGGCTGCCACGACCTGGTTAAAATATGTCTACAAACTCAGCAAGCACAGGGCCAACTGCTGATTCCTAATCATTTAAAACAATTTCCAAATAGAGGCCACCTGGGTCAAAGCGCGAGATCAAGTGTTATTTACAAAGACCTAATTATTTACACATTTCAATTACAGCACATATATAATTATCTTGGCTAATTGTTCCAAACATATGCATTTTTCTTAAGTATCAAAGTATATCACAAATAGTAAAAATTTAAATATTCTGAAAATATTTCAGAATATTTTACTTTTTTGTCGAGCTTTCATTACGGTTCTCCTTTATCTCAATTTTACTTTACTTTTTCCAAGTGTAAGTACAATGCCTACTCACGACCAGAACACATTGTGAGCACCTGAAAACACCTGGCTGGTCAGTATGTTGAAAGAACAGAGCAGGTTAGTGAGCACCCACCAACAAGGTGATTAGATGAAACGTGTCTACGGGGCCATTTTCCTGCACCTTGATAGAAAGAAGGAATAGTTCATTGTGCTTATTTTTAAATCACTGTCTAATGGAGCAGCAAGTCATTCCTGAAGCAGCTGCCTCTGGGTGGCTTGGAGGTGATAATTGATTCATTTGATTGGTCACAATAAACTTCTACCAAAACCCATTGTAGATGGGATCTATAAATGCGCACAGCAGTGTAAATCCGTGGCCAGATTTACAGCACCGGGGAAAAGACAGAGAGATGACTGGGTCGTCCCAGAGATCAGCGTGGGCTATGTCAATTCAACAGAGGACACATGGCTCCCGCAGTTCTCAGGACGCTACTGAAGAGAAGACAGGTTCTGCCCTGATTTTAAAAAGCTGTAACTTCAGCGTTAATGTGCTTTGTCACAAATCACTGTCCTACAAACCTTGAGAAGCTGGACTTCTGGGGAGAGAGTGTTCTGCCGCCCACATCCGCAGGAAGTGCTGGATAGCCACCAATCCCTTATGCACAATGAGCTGTGGAGGGAATTCCAGAGGGCAGTGCCTCAAGTTCAGGGCTTTCAGTGTAAGTACACTCCCTGCGGCGGAGGAAACAACTGTCAGCATTTATATACTGTTCTTGAAATGAAAATGAGGAACAAGTAATAGTAAATGTTTTCACATTTTAACAAATGATTCTATTCAGTATTTGGGGTAAACTGATATTAACAGATGTCAAAGATGTGCTTTAAAGGTAACTCTGCAGGAGACAGATGTCACAGATTAAGACTAGGACAATTACCAAAAACAAATAAATAAAACCAAACAAACAGAAGCAGCCACAACAACCTTCACAGTTCTGTAAGATTCAGAATACAAAGTCATGATGCTATATTATCTAAAATGCTCATTTTCAACATAAAAACAATAAGACATGCAAAGAAAAGGAAAACGTGACCCACACTCAGGAGGTCAGCAGACAACAGAAACTGTCTTTGAGGAGGCCTCGATGTTGGGTTTAACAAAGACTTCAAAGTGGCCATTTAAATATGTTCAAGCAAATGAAGAAAATCGTGCTTAGAGAAAAATATAATATAGGACTCCACAAATGTGAAATATCACTAAAAATGGAAGTTATTTGAACACTTGGAGGCTGTGGAAATGCTGGCCACTGAGAGCTAAGACTCCTGTGGTGGGCAGTTGGCTGATGGGTGCTGGGTCCCTCAGCAGGCTCAGGGCAATGTCCTTAGAGTGAGGAGCGCTGGGGAAGCACTGCAGGGCCCAGTCCTGTGACATCTGCCAACTTGAGGGGCCCAGGGTTTGGTGTGAAAGACAGATGCTTAGATGTTGGGTATTCAGGCGTTCTGCCTTTCAGCTGCGCTTGCTTTTCAGGTAGGTGAGTTTTAGGCTCTAAAAACTGCAAATGCTTTGTTGGCCCTGTCCATTAATGGGCTCTGCCCTGAGCTCAGTGGTCCAGCTGGAAAACGGAGACTAAACTAGAAGCTACCTATCTAAAATGATACTGGTTTCCTTATAAAATCCTGTGGCAAGTTCCTATGACTTTGTATTATCTTATCATCCATTTTAGTCTTCAAACGAACCCAAACTCCTTCTTTAAAAAGCTTAAATTGTCTTTCTGTGCTTTGAGATGTAAATTTGCTATTCTGTTTTCTCTGAAACTGTGTAAGGGTTCCAGCCATAACTCATTCCATTTACCAAGGCACAATTTAACCCAAATGTTCTTTTGTTTTGTTTTGTTTTTGGAGAGAGGGTCTCACCCTGTCGTCCAGGTGGGAATGCAGTGGTGGAATCAGAGCTCACTGCAGCCTTGAAGTCCTGGGCTCAAGTTAGCCTCCTAAGTACGTACCTAGGAACACAGGCATGCACTACTGCACCTGGCTAATTTCATTTTATTTTTTGTGGAGATGGGGTCTCACCATGTTGCCCAGACTGGTTTCAAACTCCTGCCCTCAAGGGATCCTCCTGCCTTGGTGCCCAAGGTGCTGGGATTACAGGCATGAGCCACTATGCGTGGTCTCAGCTGTTCTTTTAAACTAGTGAGTTTTACCTGATTCACGGCTAAAAATAAAATCAAAGCTATAAAATCTTAATGTATACGTGTGTATCTATCTCTGTTTTTATACTGTCTACATGGTAGCAGCTGACCTATAAATTAATGAGTAACCATAAATTAGTTCTCCAAAATGCTTTTCACCTTCATAATAGAAATGCCTGCAGAATTTTAGACATTTTTGCCTGGGCTACTGGCAGACTAATTTATGCTGTTTCTGCTAGATATTTTAAAGGTCATAAAACTGTTGCTTCTGTGATATTCTACACCTGTTTGATTTGTCTGTGGGCGTATGCCTTTGGTTTTGAGTGTTCAGATTCTGGGGTCTAGACAAGTGGTCCTGACAAGGCCTGGGAACATATTCAAGTGGTAAAGCTTCCCGGGAAGGCCAGCGAGATGCAGTGGAGACAGCACGTGGGGCCTGCAGAGGTGTGTGCAGGGTCCTAGGTTTCCTTAGCTGGGAGCTGGCGTCAACGCCCCTCACTGTGACCGTGCTTCGCACGAGGCTCACATGTCACACCTCCATTGGAATAGTACAGGCTGTGTCAACAGCTCTTGAGAGCTACATTATCTTAGTCCTAGAGGTAGGAAGGATTTTAAAAATATTCAGCTTAGCCTCCTTTGTCATGCCTGATACTTCCATTATAGGGTCTGGTAAGTTCAAAAGATAGCATTTAAAAATCATCTTTTTATTGTTTTATCACTTACCCAGCTCCACAGGTAACATTTTGATAGGATTTCTTTCTAAAAGCAAAGTTTTCAAATGCCTTTAAAGCAAACAAACAAAAACGTTTAAAAAGCAGGGAATTAAATTTCTTCATTTCATCAAGTTTCTTCGTTTTTCTTCTCTTTCAGGGGCAACTTCAATACAGGTACACTTCAGTTTACAAGAATGGGCACACAGGCAGGCTGCTGCCATCGGCAGGCACAGGTCTAAGCCCTGCACCGCCGGGACATGGGACCAGGCAGTCCGTAGGTGTGGCGGTGTCCCGTGCTTTGTGGCGTAGGGTTCCCCTCCCGCCTTTCTTCAGCAGTTGACCCACCCCCCGCGTGACAACCACAGATATCTCCAAACATTGCCAACAGTCTCCTGGGGGCAAAACCTCCCCCAGTTATGAACCGCTATTTTGGGCTTTCATACCTTCCAGTTATAACCTCACTGTAAACCATTCTTTCCTAAAACGTGTTGTGAGGAATGCCCATGTTTTATGATGCTCTGTGAAAAAAGTTTTTTAAGGCCAAAGACATTTGAAAGACTTCCACTACGTGGCATATCCCGCCCTGCGTGGAGACGGGTCATTGGTACACTGGGGACTCTGAGAAGCCTCCACGTAAGAAACACAGCTACAGCAGCATTTCTGGAAGGCACCTGCTTTCGTTTAACACCTAGTACCGTCCTCACAAAATGCAGCCCAAATATACCATGGATGCCTAGACAGACAGACAGAGAAGAATGTAAAAATTTACTAGTCGAATGATGGAAAAATCTATATTTTCTATTAAACTCTATCTTGTATCTTTTATTGTACTATGCTTCTTGGTTTTCACATTTTATTACTAACATTATGTTTTGAGACAAGGTCTCCACCCTGTTGCCCGGGCCAGAGTGCAGTGACGAAATCTTGGCTCACTGCAACCTCAGCCCCTGCCAGCAGCTGAGACTCAAGATGTGTGCCACCATACCTAGATAATTTTTGTATTTTGTGTAGACACGGGGTCTTCCTATGTTGCCCAAGCTGGTTTTGAACTCCTGGGCTCAAGCAATCCTCCCACCTCACCTTCTCAAAGTGCTGAGAGTACAGGCATGAGCCATCACACTCAGCCCTCATTTAAATTAAGTTCAATTTTTTGATTGGAACCCCACAGGAAAATCAGATTACTTAAGGTTTAGATAATTTTCTTTCTACTTACTTTCTTGGATTTTCCTTATTTGAAGTTTTTTTCTTTTTTTGAGACAGAGGCTTGCTCTGTCGCCCAGGCTGGATCTCCTGGCGCAATCTTGGCTCACTGAAACCTCCGCCTGCCAGGTTCAAGCAATTCTCCTGCCTCAGCCTCCCGAGTAGCTGGGACAGGGGCATGCCACCATGCCTGGCTAATTTTTATTTTTACTTTTAGTAGAGACGGGGTTTCACCATGCTGGCCAGGCTGGTCTCAAACTCCTGACCTCATGGTCCGCCCACCTTGGCCTCCCAAAGTTCTGGGATCACAGGTGTGAGCCGCCGCACCCGGCCATTATTTGAAGTATTTAAGGAAAAAACTCTATGAAGTAAACTTTTCTTGAAGTGTGCAAAAGTGGGTTATTTCAATGTTCGTTCAGCTCACTGTTTTTGGTTTACTCCCTCTGAATTTTGCTAACATAAAACCAGCCAGCGAGAACAGTGCCTGCTCTCTGTAAGGCAAACAGAGGCCTCCAGGTGCTGAGGTGGACAGCGAGGGCAGCACATGCCCTCAGCTTCTCCAACGCAGCCCTTCCTCAAAGCAGAAAGGTTCTGGCCCACCTGTGTGCTGCTGGATGGGGCTGGGTGGGGTTTTTGCCTGAGGGGGATTGCAGGGGGTGCATGTTTACTATTAACCTGAAAGTACAGAACGGATTTTTCTACCTTATGTAATAATATCATTAAAATATTCTGAGCACACTTAAAGTTATAAATTTATAAATGTTAATTCCTTAAATGCTTACTACCAGTAACCCAAAGCCTACCCATGGACTGTTTTGCTTCATTGATTTTGAAATGAACATATAAATGTGAATACTGAGTTGGACTTCTTTGCCTGAGGAGTAATGAACTGGTCCACGCTTCCCCGTTCTCCTCTCTACTACAAGCTCACACACCCAGGACACTGAGAAGGCGGCTCACTAACACTGCCACCCTTTTAACTATGTGTTTCTAGAGGTTCAGGGCTTTAATAAGCCCGTGATCACTTTGCCTTTCGGAGTAGTATGGCTCAGCTCTGCGGCTGATCTAATTTGAATATTAGCCTAGGTCACAGATCACAAATAAAACTGTATCTTCAAACACATTAGGCAGCTTTGACTGGCAAAATCAAAGAATTTCAAATTTTGAGAAATGTATACTTATTTTAGGGAAAAGAAGAGTAGTTATGGGAACAGGTCTTAGTTCATTTACACCCTCTGAGTGGCACTTACTCTCCAGAACTCTGTAAGGCTAAAACCATTTGTGGATAAAATAGCACCCAGTGATTCTAAACCCAGAAGATGATGATCTTGTGAAGAAGAAATCCTTCCCAAACGCTCTCAGCCACAGGCTCAGACGCCTCCTGAGGCCGTGAGGAACAGGGTGGACACCTGCCCCGAGCGCCTGGCTCCCACGCAGCTCCCATCGCACAGGCAGCTGGCGAGGCGTGGCAGATATACCAGCTGAGCTCCAGAATACGCTTCTCCTCGAGGTCCATTTGTGATCCACCCTGCAGACCCCAGAGTCCCTAGGAGCTCCATGGAGATGCACCCGGTGTGTCTCCACCTGCTTGAGACACCACTTATCACTGGATAAGCAGCTTCCTCACAGAGCCTGAAGACCACAGGATGAATGATGCATCCTTCTCTTCCACTATGTATAGCAAAATATGCTGACTTCTTATAAAACATTTTTAAAGCCACTGAGTTCAAGGCAAGTGAAGGGCCTCCTGCAAGCCTCAATTCTGCAGACACACAGCAGCCACCGCGGCTCTTTGGAGACATAATTCCTCACGTAGGAACCGGGGGTACCCTGGACACCCTTCTTGTTCTTGTGGCCCCACATCCACCCGCGTCCCACAAGCTCTGGAGTCCCACTGAGGCCCTGCCATGGCCAGTCATGCCCAGGGTGCCCCTCCTGCATGAACCGCTGCCGTGGCCACAGCTGGTGTCCCACCCCACCCGTGCCCTAGAGCCCCCTCCTCACAGAGCGACTATAAGCCAAATCTGACACCAGCCCTCTCTACCCAAGCCCTTCTGTAAAATCCACAATGAGACCCTGGTCTCTGAGCCCCACTACCCCCTCTAGAGTCCTCCCCCACCACACAGGCCTCCCTGCCAGCCTGCACCTGCCAGGCACATGCCCACCTCAGGGCTGTGTCCAGACACACTCATTTCAGGGGAGGGGCTGTGGGTAACCCCCGACATGGGCACCAAGGAAGGAGAGCTGTGCAAACCCCGGGCAAAGTTAGTGCCTGAAGAATATCTTAGTTATAGTGCTATTACTCAGCTATTTCCTTTCTATAATCCTTCATATATAATCACATATCAGTTTATAGAATTAGTGCCTGAAGTATAACTTACTGCTTCCATATGTCTAGCTTATATAATCATACATAGTACTTATATCTAATGCACTTAGTTCCGTATAATCCTTCTATATAATCATATAGGTATTGTAGTCGGAGCTGTACTGACACATTCAGGGCTGATTTATAGAATCCTTCCATAGAACCACATAGTAGTTTGTAGTGGGAGGAATGCCTGGAGCAGTCACAGAACAGAAGCAGCACATGGGAAAACAGCCAGACCAGGACGAGAACCAAAGACCCCGGCGGTGGCGTCCCTGCCTGAAAGGGCAAACGCCGTATGGCAGGCTTGGAGCAGGAGCCTCTCCTCCTGATGAAGGAGTTGTAGAATCTTGCATCCAGTTCCTGTGGAAAGTCGGCCTCAGGCCTGAGATCCCACAAATAACCAAGGGAGAAGAACCCCCCTGGTGTGACCAGTCACGGCGGCTGTGCACCCTGTCAGTCTTTTCCCGCTTCTGTGCTGGCTCAAATCATCCTCCCATAAATATCTTAGAGAAGAGCACACGTCTGTCAGCTCCCACTGCACTGGCTTACAGTATCCTTCCATTAGAAATCCTTTGAAGTCTCCAGCCCCCAGATAAGAAGTGTCGTGCACACGACACCTGCTGCACACAGCCCGCCTCCTTGCCTCGGTGATCTAATGGGGGTGGACCCCTTTTCTGTACACAGCCCCCTATTGCGCGTAGCCCACCTCTCTGCTCAGGTGACATAATGGGGTGGCCCCCTCGTTTGTTACGTGATTATATATGCCCCATCACTAAGCCTATAGATGATGATCTCACTCATGACTGTTCCCCCATTTGTACCTAATAAATACAGACGCTTCTGGGCATTCGAGCCTTGCCTGTCTCTGCTCATTGGTGACGTGCCCCTCCCCCCCGAGTCCAGCTGTTCTTTTCCAGTTCTTCTGTGTCCTGTCTCTTTATTTCTCAGATCCAGCGCCTCAGCACGGCATAAGGGACACCCCATGACCTTGTGGGGCCAGCAGCCACTGAAGCACTGATCAAAAGAGGTAAGGGCAGCCAGGCGCAGTGGCTCATGCCTGTATCCCGGCACTCTGGGAGGCCGAGGCAGGCAATTCGCTTGGGGTCAGGAGTTTGAGACCAGCCTGGCCAAAATGGTAAAAACCCATTTCTACTAAAAGTATGAAAATTAGCCAGGCATGGTGGCGAGTGCCTGTAATCCCAGTTACTGGGAGGCCGAGGCAGGAGATCACTTGAACCGGGAGGCAGAGGTTGCAGTGAGCCAAGATTGCGCCACTGCGCTCCAGCTCAAAAAAAAAAAAGGAAAAGAGGTAAGGGTGATGATGGTTTCAGAAGGTGAAAAAGCCACGGTGTCGGGGATGTGGGCACAGAAGCAGAGGGCTCAGGAAAGGAGGGTGTCTCCAAGTGAGAGTCCCGGCTGCTGGGGAAGGGCCAGGCGGAGGAGGGAAAGGAAGTGTGGCATTTCCACCCTGGTCAGGATTACACCCCACACGTGGGAATGCCAGGAAACCCTGGGAAGGGAAACGTGGGAACAGGCAGGACACCCGGGGCTTGCTCAAGTGCTCCCAGTTTTCCAAAGTGAGAAGAATTTCTCATTATTTGCCAAGAACCAATTTACACGGGAGCCCTCAGGAGCAAAGGAGCTGGTTTATTATTATTATTTTTTGAGATGGAGTCTTACTCTGTAGCCCAGACTGGAGTGGAGTGGCATGATCTTGGCTCACTGCAACTTCCGTCCCTAGGTTCAAGCAATTCTCCTGCCTCAGCCTCCTGAGGAGCTGGGGTTACGGGCACCCGCCACCACGTCCAGGTAATTTTTATATTTTTAGTAGAGATGGGGTTTTGCCATGTTGACCAGGCTGATCCTGAACTACTGCCCTCAGGTGATCTGCCTACCTTGGCCTTCCAAAGCTCTGGGATTACACGTGTGAGCCACTGTGCCCAGCTAAAGGAGCTGGTTTAACTCATCAGAGTTATTTCTGATTTTCAGGCAGCTTCACACAAGGAGAGTCAGAGCTGTGACAAAAACCACACCAGCCACCCAGCAAAATTCACTGTGGCTACAGCATTCGCCATGGCACCAAATATCCCATTACAGTTCTGTGCCTTGGCTACATTCAGCCGTCGCGGCTCCTAGCTGGCTTTACAAAGACTATGAAATGTTTCTCTTCTGAGGTAAAAATGCAATCGAGAGCAGAGGACGAGGAGCAACAGAACAGGCACTCATGCACTTACAAGACGAGCTGCAAGCTCTGGAAACATGAACAAACAACTTACTTGTGAGACCCAATCCCAGAAGGAAGTGCCTTGATCCTGTTGTACCGGAGGTCCAGCCAAGTCAGGTTCGGTAGTAACTGAAAGAAATCTTGAGGAATCACACAGAGGGCATTCCTTTGCAGATGCAATTGCTTCCATGGAAAAGAGAGTTCAGAGAATGTTTTGTCAACCAACTGATTTTAAAACATGATATATCCAAAAACCATTTCCAAAATAACTACCAACAACCAGAATCATATACACTAAGTTAAAAAGAGAAAAAAAAAAAACCCATCCCTTACCCTTAAAATATGAAAACAGTAGACAAAAGAATCAGAAAGAAAAGAACCAGGACTCCTGGCAGCCTTGGGAGCAGGACTGACTTCCTCAAGAGCTGGCACTCTGCTGTTGACTGAGCATGTCTCTGTTTCTGTCACAAGCCTCTGACACAGTCTGAAGCCCGAGGCCCCATATGCAGTTTCCCGGCCCTTTCTCCAGTGCCTACTGCAGCACCTGGCCCTTGGCAGCCCCCGACACTGCCTGCTTACCGAGCAAACAGCGAGGGCCACGTCTGCTCTGGGGGACTCAGCCCAACTCAATCATGAAGAGGAAATGCAAAGGCAGGGGCAGAGATACCTGCTATGGTGTTCTCCAAAATCAACAGCACACAAAAACAACCTCGGCAAGCATCACTTCAGGAGCAGACTAATACAACAACTCAGTGACCTTCTAAAGTCTTTATAAATAAAGGACGGTAGAAAATGAAGTGTAAACACCCTGATTTTAGCTGTGTAAAACGCATGTAACACACACATAATTTTACAGTCACGGTGTGGCAGGATAATAGCTCATTTTTACAATACTGTCATTAATGCTGCTGTGTTGTCTATACTCACATTATTATGTGTATTTACATCTACATCCATATTTACTGAGGCAGTAGAAACAGATGTTCAGAACACGGATCTCAAAGCCAGACTGCGTGGATTCACATCTAGGTTTCCAAACCTATTGGCTATGTGACCCCCAGCGAGTTCTTGAACCTCTCTGTGCTCCAGCGTCCTCATCTGTGAGACACGGCAATGTGACCCACCTTATAGGGCAGCACCAACAGCAGCGCGTGGAATGGCCGTGGTGATCACACTAGAGAGCAGCATGTGGACCGGCCGCGGAGATCACACTAGAGCAGCGCGTGGACCGGCCGTGGTGATCACACTAGAGCAGCGCGTGGACCGGCCGTGGTGATCACACTAGAGCAGCGCGTGGACCGGCTGTCGTGATCACACTGCCTTCTCTGTGGAAACACACACTGCATACTGCAGAGTGCCCCTGCCTCCCCATTCCACCTTCAACACCGCGCCCCTGCTCCAAATCGCTGACAGATTCCAGTCTGAGAAACACCGACTGGAAAAATCACACTCTTCATAAAGGCATTGAAAACAGCGTCTTATCTCTGTTAGGAAACTGCTGGAGCCACTGCTTGCTGGCAGCTGGCCAGGTCTCCGGAAAGCGGCCTGGCGATCACAGGTACACAATGCTCTTTCCTGCCCTTTCCCTCACAGTGCAACCTGATTCTAGTGCTGAGCTTTGAAACCATGTCTTCTTCAAGGCAGTGAAAGGAGTCTCAGGAAGATAACAGTCTGCTTCCTCCCCAGCACCTCTGGAAACACAGGCACCACCTGCGACTTGGAGCTGGTTATGGTTGAAGGAAATAACGTATACAGTGGTTCATTTCCAGAACAAAGTGCCTTGAACTGGCTTAGATCAGCAAGCTACAGAAGAAACAGGATGTAGTAGGCCCCTGCTTGGCCAGCCGATGCCTGCTTGTCAGCCTCCCCACCACCCCTTAGTTGCCCTCACCCAAACCAAAGAAGTTTAGTCTAAGACGAAAGTTTACTAGCCTGCAAAACAGCTCATTTTGTCTGTTCTTTTTGCGATGAAGCAAACTACCTCCATCTTAGCTGTGAGCCTGACTGACTCCATCTTGGCTCCCCCTGCCATTTCTCCCCTGAGTGCATACCTGGCCACACCGTGCTGGGTCATGCTGTGCTTAGAGCTATAGAAGCATATAACCGTTGTAACAATATCCCGCTTGACAAGCCCACTTGCTGTTGTGGGTACCCCCTTGATTGATTGTATGGAAAGCACCAGATGCCCCCCCCTTGGTGACCAGCAATCATGGGAACCGTTTGTGTATACCCTCCTTAGTTAATCAACAATCCTGGGAGCCTCCTGCCTCCTAGTTTCCAGCCTCCTCCCCTAGCTTGCTTATTCTGCTTCTGTAAAATTCCGCTTTGCCCCCTTGCCATGAGCAACATATAAAAGGAAATCAAACCCCTTCCTCGGGGCCAAGAGATTTTGAGAGTTAACTGACTCTCAGTCGCCGGCAATAAAAGGACTCACAATCAGATTTCAGAGTGTGGCACTTTCCTAACAACTCACTCGGATATAACATTATCTGCCTGCCCAGCTACTCAGGTCGTAAGTCAAATACTTGAAGAGCCCCTGAGCTGACTGGGATTGCAATGTATTGTGGGCTGTGACAAAATGCAGCAGGACAACCCTAAAAAAACACCTAAAGCCCCTGCTCAATAAGCAATAGGCGACGTCCAGGAAGACTGTGACCTACCCCCCATAGACTCAGCCTGTGAGGAACGGGGTGGAGGGGCTGTGCACTAGGGGATAAACTGCTTGTTGAAGCCGTGCTGGGTGTGCCTGCCCACCAGACACTGATCTTGCAAAACCGTCATTAAAGTCACTTCCACTGTCCTCTGGGTCTCTGAGTCCATTCTTTGGGCTTGGATGGGTGAGTTTGTTTCTCAAACCTGGTGGTTCACATGGGGAAGAAAATGACATGTTTGGGCAATACCGGAGAGGCTCACTCCTCCCTAATGTACCAACCAACGGGTACAAAGCTCTCTGAGGAAAAGTGAATAGTATTGGGGTAAAGGGGGAAGGACTTTACATTCCAATATTCAAGATGATGTTAATTAGCTTGGGATCAGAGCAAACTAAGGGGTCATTCTTGTATGTTCCCGAAGCAGGAACTAGCCTCCTGGGTCAAGACCTGACTGTTCGATTAGGTTTAGGATCCAGAGTAGAGAAGGGACAGATAAAAGCAGTGATGGGCCTTCTAACAGAGGAAAGTAGAGCTAACCCCAGCCTGGGGATTAAGGAAAGCAACAGGGGAGGGTGAAAAATCACAGCCTCACAGACTGAACTAAACGTCCAGGAGAAAGAGTTTGCAGGAAACAATGTCCCAAACCCACTGAAGGGCAGAAGGGTCTCCCGCTGCTAATGGAGGGAGTAACTAAAGACGGACTATTGGAAGTCTGTATGTCACCACACAACACTCCAGTCCTCCTGGTGAAGAAACCAGATGGGTCCTGTAGACTAGTATAAGGTCGAACAGCTATAAGTCAGTTGTCCAAACTTACCATCTTGGGGTGCTTCACCCCTACACCCTCCTCAGTAAAATACCCTATGAACATAAGTGGTTCACCGTAGTGGATCTGAAAGACGCCTTCTGGGCATGTCCCCTAGACTCTAGATGTAGGGACCTCTCTGCCTTTGAATGGAAAACCCCATAACGGGAGAAAGCAGCAGCACCGTGGACTGTGCTGCCAGAAGGGTCCACGGAAGCCTGGGACTTATTTGGCCAAGTCTTAGAAAAACTCCTGGAGGAATTCCAACCTTCCAGAGAAAGCCAGTTGTGACCATATGTGGATGATCTTCTAATTTCTGGGGAAAGGAGGGCCAAGGTATCAGAAGCCACCAGAAGCTTGCTTAATTTCCCAGGGAAAAGGGGATTGTGAGTCTCCGAGGACAAACTGCAATTTGTAGAAAAAGAAGTTAAATACTTAAGACATCTAATTAGCGAAGGGAAGTGGGGAATAAACCCTCAAAGAATATCGGGAATAGTGGGTCTGCCCTTGCCTAAGACAAAGAAAGAACTCCGAAAATTTTTAGGTTTAACTGGTTACTGCAGATTATGGGTTGACTCACGTGCTCAAAAGACAAGGATTCTGTATCTGAAATTACTAGAAGAACCCGATCCCTTGAAATGGTGCCTGGAAGAAATTAAGGCAGTGAAGGATTTAAAGCAAGCTCTCTCTACAGCCCCAGTCCTGGCCCTCCCACCTTTAGAGAAAATATTTCGTCTGTTGGTCACAGCAGACCAGGGCACGGCCCTTGGGGTGCTCACTGAAATGTGGGGCAGGGAAGAGGTGACCATTGTTTTTCTCTCCAAGCTTCTCCAACTTGTCACTCAAGCGTGGCCCAAATGTGTGCAGGCAGTGGCTGCCACGGCCCTGTGGGTAGAGGAGAGCTGGAAGCTGGGGCCCTGGTAGTGAGCACCCCACATCAGGTCAGGGACATATTAGATCAAAGAGCTGGGAGATGGCTGACTGATTCCTGGACATTAAAATACGAAGCCATGTTACTAGAAAAACATAATTTGGTCTTAACAACAGATACTTGCTTGAAACTAGCCAGTTTCTTATGGAAAGGGGAATAATGAGGCATGAGACCACACTGTTTAGATATCATAGAACGTCAAACTGAGGTTAGCCCAGACCTGACGGAAGCTCCACTCCATGTTGGAATGAGGCTGTTTGCGGATGGGTCATCCCGAGCGACTGATGGTAAGGACACACTGGCTATGCTGTCATTGACGGAAACAAACGATCCTTACGTGAAAAAGGAAGATTACCCAGTGACTGCCCAGCCCAAACCTGTGAATTAGATGCTCTTAACCAGGCCCTAAAGCTCCTAAAGGCTAAGAAGGCACTATACGGAGTGGCTCCAAATACGCCCGTGGAAGAGCACACGCCTCCGGAAGGCTCTGGACAGAGCGGGGCCTGGTAACGAGGAAGCTCCTGGTACATCGGGAGCTGCTCACGCAAGTTTTAGAAAGCGTCCTGCCTCCAGCAGAGATGGCCACAGTTCACGTAAATGGCCATCAGAAAGCAAACACTGCAGAAGCTGTAGGGAGCAGGCTTGCAGATGAAGCTGACATGCAAGCCTCCCTGGAGGAAGAGGTGAGGCTGTTTAGCCAGTCCCAGAGAGCCCGAGGGTGGTATTAAGACCCCGATTTTCTAAAGAAGAGGAAGAGCTAGGGAAGACAGGGGCCACTCAAACCAGGATGGGAGGT